TTTTTTAATCTAAAGATGAAGATAATTATTATAGCTGTCTCTTCTAGGATAGTTATTTCAAACATGCTTGATTTTTTTCACCCTTAGGCAATAGCTTAATTTATATTGATAAGAACTTGCAATGGTGCTTTATAAGAAATTTGATGTTATTATATTCATCTCAACTCATGAAAAATTATGGCAGTGTTTAAAATTCAATATTCCTAGCCCAGGGAGACCAAATGAGTCCTCTGAGCATTCGGGATAATTTTTCATGTATTCTGAGCATGCACAATTATCTTTTTCAGATTACTTTGTCTTTGATATCAAGATCAGCTTCATATGGTTTTGATTTTATGAAGATAAGCTTTAATGTAATTGCTTTAGGGAATCTAATCATGTAGAAAGTCTGATAGGACTAAGAGATTCAAAATGGAACAATATTGGTGTGTTTTACTTACAAACTGAAAAAGAATATGTGATAGGGACCCTCATGTTGCTCAAGTGAAGAAAGTATTTCTGACTTTCCAAGACCTCTGGATCCTGCACTCATAATGTTTATTTATTTTTTTTTTAATCTTAGTCTCTGGAAAGCACCCGTCGTATGCTGCAGCTGGTTGAAGAGGTAAGGAGTGACTAAGTTTTAAGATGAAGAAACTAATCCCTTAGGTTGCTATACTATTTTCTAGTCCCTGCTACCTTTCCCTCAGCCATCACCCCATTGAGTCCAGGCTGACTGTGCCCCATAGCTACATAATGAGGGAGATTCAGTGTCTCACTTGCCAGAAACCCAGGCTGCCTTTATAAACTGGGAAACAGAAAAGGATAGTTAATTCCCACTTAGTGCTCCCAAGAAATTATAAAAGACTGGATCACTTGAAGCAAATCAGAGCAATTTTTAATATGCAAAGGAATTGTCTATATAAAAGCTTCATTTAGGATGGTACCTGTGGCTCCAGGAATAGGGCACTGGGTCCATATACCCGGGGTGGCAGGTTCAAACCCAGCCCCGGCCAGAAACTGCAAAACAAACAAGCAAACAAACAAAAGCTTCATTTATAATTACTTTGATGCCTATAAACCTCATTTAATCTTGACATTCTGATCTGAATTTAGTCACAGAGATGACTTTTAAAAATATGTATCCATGTACCATTTTTAGAGACTGCTATACTTAGAATTAGTCACTAAAATTTATGGACAAATAGGAAAAAAGTCTTTAACAAAGGGAAATATCAAATCCGATAATATAAATACCAGAAGCTCTTTTCTATTCCTGGTTCTGGATTAAACATCCATTTGCGAGGCATGGTTAATGAATCCCAAACTATTTTTAAATGGGTAAAATAGGGCAGAGAGCAATAATGGTATCAAAAGGGCATTTGCAGTAAACCCCACTCATTCCAATTTGGTAGAGCAGCGGTAAACCAGGAAGAAAGGATAAATGGATTAATTGAACTTGTCCATTGGGAGAGATGAAGTGGAAAAAGAATGGGTTGGACTATATTTATCTTAACCTAATAAAACAAGCCTAATAGTTTTTATTCAGTGAGATGCCATTTTAGCTGTGCTTTGAAACTGCTTATCAATGTATAAATTCGTGTGTGATTCTCATTTTCTGAGATCTTGGAGTTTCTCAAGTGGAATGATTAAATGGGCCGACTCACCTCATGCTACTGTAATTGCTTATGAAATGACATGAAAGGGGGAAAAAGATAAATTTTACAAGGGTAAAAGGAAAAGCAGCTGCCTCTCACCTACAGAAGCCAACATCTTCCCTCACTCTGCAGCTTCATCTTCTTACTTAGGAATGAAATATGGCTAAGGCTAAATGCAAAATGCCACCAGGGCGGTAGGAAGAAGGTAGCAAACCTCAGCTCCCCAGGAGGCTGGGGAAGTTGGGGGAGCTGGGGTAGGGAGCACACAGCATGATCGCTCATCATAAAAATAATTGACACTTCGAGCCTGCAGGGTAGCACAAATTGGGCCCCCTGGGAAGGCAGGCTCAGCAAGGGGACCCTCAGTCCTGGAAAGCAATCTTCCTTCTCTACATGAAGAGAAATGTTCTCCTGCTTTGTCCTGGGAACGCTGCTCATGTAGAAATACTTGAGGACCAAGAAGGAGGCATGTATTCTAAATCTGAGTGCTGGAGAAGGCTCCTAGCCTAGACATAGTCTTTCTCAATTTTTCATAAGAAAAAAAAAATGAAAGGAGCAAATGTTAGCAATATTCCTCACATGGGGAGTCCACAAGTCAACCGACATAGTCACTTTATTGCATATTATTATATTATTATCATAACATATCTTTATGGCCTTTAATCATACCTCCAAGCTGACATTTCTTTGTTGTTTGCACTTATGCACGTGTGATGTAAATTTCTAAAATACTAGAACTGTCACCAATTTGCCTGCCTGTGCAATATTAAGATGCTGCCCAGCCCATGGAAAGTGGTGACACAGATAGCCCGTCCGAGTCTCGGGGACACGAACGCTTCTTTTTCATGTGTCTTCTTAAACTGCAAGCAGTGTCAACCAGTCTTGGATAGCAAGTGTCTCCTCTAATTTAGTCTAGGGGAAAAAAAAAATCTCAAAAGCTCTATCGATTGAAGTAGGATTCTCCAATCATATGTTTTTGTTTCTTCTAAAGCATTCCTCAATCTAGCATGAAGCTGCATCTTAGAACAAGGAACAAAATGGATGGAAGGTCTCTCCTACCTCTAATCAGCGAGAGGAGGCTACCAGACTTCCGTCCTTAGGAAGGCACTATTAGAGGAGGTTGATGTGCTCTTATTCCTCCTGGGTTATTTTATATTTATGACCCAACACCCCGATGTCTAGGACATCGATTATTCAAATGATGTTCTGTATTTCAATCAAAAAGGAAATTCACTTTAAAGAGAACCAGCATTAAATATTCATCAAGGGCAGGAATCATTTATAAAATCTGAGCATTGAAATGCCCGGATCTTGCCCACGATCCCAAGGTTCATCAGCACCACATAATCTGAATTGAGCTGAATGCTTTTGGAAACTCAGGCTCGGAGACAGGAAAGGTGGCTAAACCTGTGAGAGCTTCCTGAGGCAAACAATCCCGAGTGGATTATATAATGCACCATACCTAAAGACTCCAGTGCGGTCCAGGTAGGAACCGGCTTTTTTTTTTTTTTTTTTTTTTTTTTAGAGACAGAGTCTCACTTTCTTGCCCTCGGTAGAGTGCTGTAGCATCACAGCTCACAGCAACCTCCAGCTCCTGGGTTTAGGCGATTTTCCTGCCTCAGCCTCCTGAGCAGCTGAGACTACAAGCGCCTGCCACAACACCTGGCTATTTTTTTGTTGCAGATCAGATGGGGCTGGGTTTGAACCCACCATCCTTGGTATATGGGGCTGGCACCCAACTCACTGAGCCACAGGCGCCGCCCGGAACCAGCTTTTAAATAGAAGCCATTTTCAGCATTTCAAGGACGATGTAAAGTTACACAGAGGGCAGCGGTGAAAGCTCAGAAAAGCCGAATGAACACCATAGAGAGGTGAAAGGTTAGAACTCCCACAGCACTTGGTCTCCCAACCCCTGGAGTTGGGAACTCTCTTTTCATAGATGCATTTGAACAAATATTTATGGAATGCCTAACTCTGAGGATAGGAGGGGAGATTTAAGTTGATATCTTGCAGAGAAACAGATACACAAATAGCTCTCCAAATTCAAGGCCATATTTGCCTTAGAAGCATAGAAGAAGGAACAACTGGGTCTGATGCAAGGTGTCTTCAAGGGAGGAGTATTGGATTCTACACACCAGTGTGAAAGCTAAGCCAGCAAAAGCCACAGCGCTTTGGGGCAGGCCAGTTCACGGGCACAACACAACTTTCATGGAGAGGTAATTGAACTGCTAACATTTTGTGAATGTTTCAGTGTCTTTCCTTTTAAATACCAACTTATCTTTCAAGACACTTTAGCCACAGGAAGAGAATAAGCATTCTGAAGCTGTTTGCCTTATGCCAGATTTGCTCTTAAAAGTGGAAAAGATTCAGGTTGGACATTTCTTTTCAGATATGCAGATGTGGGGTCCTTTGGAACTCAGCAGATAAGGGAGTTCCTGGGGTGTTCTGTTTTATCTCACATGTGCCAGACTTCAGGGAAGACATCTCAGAATGGCAGAAGAAAGATTACAAATGTTGCAGAAACATAGTCTTAGTTCATATGCAAAAGAGTACAAATTTTAAAAATTAAAACAGTGAAATAAATTTAAAAAGAAAAAGGAAGAAATAATAAAGAATAAAAATCCTTATAACTTCCACTCGCTGCTTTTAGGTCTGTGGTTTTCCCAGCCGTCTCAAACAACCCAAGAATTGTGCTAAGTCAAAAATAGAACCACCTCCTCTCACTTCCCAGCTACTAAAACATAATGCTATTTAGGGAACAAGAGAAAGTAATATTCTTCCTTCCCTGAAATCTTGTCCCCATCCTTGCCCTTCTCCTCGAGCTTCCAAGAACAATCCAGGTATTCTGATAGAAGCTACCAGCAAAGCATCAGGGCTACATGTAAGTTCTAACATTTATTGAGAACTTACTATGTGCTGGGTACTGAGCTTGGAGCTATCATCATCATTATCATCAAACCTCTAGTATGTAACTTAATCTTTATAGCTGCCTTTTACAACTACTTTGATCTCGATTTTGCCGTGGAGGAGTTTGGGGTCCACAGTGGCTAAGTAGCTTGCTCGAGACACACAGCTCTAAATGGCAGAGATGAAATGAAAGCCCAGGTTGATCTGAATTCTAGAGTGTAAATTCTTTTTTTTTTTTAATTCAAGTTAATGTGAGGGCACAAACAACTAGGTTACAGTATTTACATATGTTAGGGAGAGTCCCTCTTGTAATTGTGTCCTGCACCCAAAAGGTGTGCTGTGCACCGTGAGGTTGTGTCTGTGAAGTGGGAACACACCGATCCCCTCCCTTGGAGTGTACATCCTTATGCCCAGCACTTAACCTCCCTTCCACCAGCAACTCTTATGAGAATTATTTTTCCTTGAGAATTACACAAAAAGCAAAAGGATCTATGGAAGCAAAGCAGTTCATTCTCTACTGATCAGGATTCTACCGAAATTAAATACTGTATCTTCATGTATTTCCTTCTGAACCTAGCTCAGCCTCCGCTACAGGCTTCACATCCTGTGGCCTTGCGCTCCTAACTACTATGGGAAGGAAAGGTTACTGTCCCCATTTGACAGCGGGGAAAGCTGAGACACACACTAGGAGGACCACAACAGTAAAGATAGGTCTAGAATCAAGAATTGCTGACTCCTAGATCATAGTTCTGCCCACCTGCTTAAATTGTTTCTACCCTGAGAAGCACAGTCGAGAAGCCAAACATTTGTCTATCCCTTATACTTAGTGCCTTGGGCAGAGCAAACATTTATTGAATAAATGAATGAATGACGGGAGAGGGAATAAGCCAGTGAGTGAGTGAATGGACCTATCGGCCACACACATTTTTGGTGTTTCTGCCCTCATCTTAAATGTGGGGAGAGAGTCTGAAAAGTCAGAAGATTCTTCTGTAGTCTCATGACTAGTCAGTGGTTGAGCTACAAGCACAGCCCCGCTTTCCTGACTCCCAGGGCAGTTCTC